TTCTGTGTCCCTGAGTAACAATTCTGTGTCCCTGAGTAACAATTCTGTGTCCCTGAGTAACAATTCTGTGTCCCTGAGTAACAATTCTGTGTCCCTGAGTAACAATTCTGTGTCCCTCAGTAACAATTCTGTGTCCCTCAGTAACAATTCTGTGTCTGTCCCTGAGTAACAATTCTGTGTCCCTGAGTAACAATTCTGTGTCCCTGAGTAACAATTCTGTGTCCCTCAGTAACAATTCTGTGTCCCTCAGTAACAATTCTGTGTCCCTCAGTAACAATTCTGTGTGTCCCTGAGTAACAATTCTGTGTCTGTAACAATTCTGTCCCTCAGTAACAATTCTGTGTCCCTCAGTAACAATTCTGTGTCCCTCAGTAACAATTCTGTGTCCCTGAGTAACAATTCTGTGTCCCTCAGTAACAATTCTGTGTCCCTCAGTAACAATTCTGTGTGTGTCCCTGAGTAACAATTCTGTGTCCCTGAGTAACAATTCTGTGTCCCTGAGTAACAATTCTGTGTCCCTGAGTAACAATTCTGTGTCCCTGAGTAACAATTCTGTGTCCCTGAGTAACAATTCTCTGTGTCCCTCAGTAACAATTCTGTGTCCCTCAGTAACAATTCTGTGTCTGTCCCTGAGTAACAATTCTGTGTCCCTGAGTAACAGTTCTCTTGTCCCTGAGTAACAATTCTGTGTCCCTGAGTAACAGTTCTGTTCCCTGAGTAACAATTCTGTGTCCCTCAGTAACAATTCTGTGTCCCTCATAACAATTCTGTGGCCCTAAAGTCTCTCTGGCCCTAACTCTGTCCCTAATACAGACAGGTCTTTCTCTCTTGAATGACCGGAGGCAAATGGAGAATTGTAAGATGGCCGCAATTTATAGCTCCACCATTACACAGTGCTGGCTGGCTGGCTGCTGATTGGCTAATGCGATCACATGTCATGAATGAATGCATTATGGGTCAGCGCGCCTTGTCTGCGCGCCTTCCCAGAGATCCCCGCTCCGTCGCCACACATGTCGCCGCCATTTTTGGAAAAATTTCGATTCGCGCATCCGAAGTATGCTATATTTCGGATTCGGCGCGAATCGAATTTTTCCTAATATTCGAAACGAATTCCACTTCGCCAAGTTCGATTCGCTCATCTCTAATTATGGCTTACAGCTCATGAAAACCCAAAATCCACAATCTCAGAAAATTTAAATATTGTGAAAAGGTGCAATATTCTAGGCTCAAAGTGTCCCACTCTAATCAGCTAATTAAGCCATAACACCTGCAAAGGGTTCCTGAGCCTTTAAATGGTTTTTTCAGTCTTGTTCAGTAGGAATCACAATCATGGGAAAGACCAGATAGCAGAAAACCATCATTGACACCCTCCATAAGGAGGGAAAGCCTCAAAAAGTAATTGCAAAAGAAGTTGGATGTTCCCAAAGTGCTGTATCAAAGCACATTAATAGAAAAGTTATGTGAAAGGGAAAAGTGTGGAAGAAAAAGGTGCACAAGCAGCAGGGCTGACCGCAGCCTGAAGAGGTGCCAGGGCTCCGGGTATGACCAGAGGTGTGTGGCCCAACACAGGGAAACACAGACTTCAGGTATAGCGTGTAAAACAATATAATTTATTAAGGCAACATAGACATAAATGCAGTGCAACAAACCAAACCCAAAACTAACACAAATACTTACAACAAGGTGCAACAAACCGAAACCTTAACTGATATATATATATAAATAAATATGGAGCACAACGTAGTCAGGTGGGCTGGGTCGGTAGCACATTGGCCTTACGCCAATCCAGTGGTACTATGCCAATCATTAAAGAGTCCCTAAAAATGAGAAACAATGACTTTGAAATGACAGAGCTCAATTCATTAAGGATCCGTGTATGTATGCCACCCGGTCCAGGTGCTTTATTCACCTTTATTCTGTCTAAATATTTTTGAATATAAATTGTGAGCCAATGTGGATCATCTGGAGCTGTGTTAATACCATGCCTATTATGGACAAGAACTCCCCCTTGCTCCTTTGTATACGCAGAGCTGAAGAAGGTATTTAATAAATTTGCCTTCTCTTTGTCCCCAGTCACCCACTCTAGATGATTTTGTAAAGGGCCTACATGCTGGGACCGGACATTTTTATTATTAATATATTTGAAGAATTTTTTTGGGTTGGTTCTGCTATCTTTTGCAATCTGTTGTTCGTTTTCAATTTTTGTGGCCTTTATTTCCTTTTTGCATATTCTGTTATATTCTTTGTAAACGATGATCGCATTCCTTCATTTTTAAAGCTCTTTTCTTATTATCTATAGCTTTTTTAACTTTGGCCGTAAGCCACATAGGTTTGATGTGTAGCCTTTTAAACTTGTTGCCCATGGTAATATATTTCACATAAAGTCTTTTTGAAGAACTCCCATTTCTGTGTTGTGTTCATTGATGCCAATATTCCCTCCCAGTCTAAGTCTTGGAGAGCAGTTCTCAGCCTTGAAATTAGCTCTCTTAAAATTGAGCGTTTTTATTTTTCGCTTATGTGCTTGCTGCTTACAGCTAACAATAAATGAAATCATGCTACCCAGATGTTCTTTTACAGGTGAAACTCAAAAAATTAAAATATCGTGCAAAAGTTCATTTATTTCAGTAGTGCAACTTAAAAGGTGAAACTAATATATGAGATAGACTCATTACATGCAAAGCAAGATAGTTCAAGCGTGATTTGTCATAATTGTGATGATTATGGTTTATAGCTCATGAAACCCCAAATCCACAATCTCAGAAAATATTACATGCAATCAATAAAACAAGGATTGTACATAGAACAATATCGGACCTCTGAAAAGTATAAGCATGCATATGTACTCAGTACTTAGTTTGGGCCCCTTTTGCAACAATTACTGCCTCAATGCGGCGTGGTATGGAAGCTATCAGCCTGTGGCACTACTGAGGTGTTATGGAATACCAGGATGCTTCAATAGTGGCCTTCAGCTCTTCTGCATTGTTCGGTCTCATGTCTCTCATCTTTCTCTTGGCAATGCCCCATTGATTCTCTATGGGGTTCAGGTCAGGCGAGTTTGCTGACCAATCAAGCACAGTAATCCCACGATCATTGAACCAGGATTTGGTGCTTTTGGCAGTGTGGGCAGGTGCCAAGTCCTGCTGGAAAATGAAGTCAGCATCCCCAAAAAACTCGTCTGTGGAAGGAAGCATGAAGTGCTCCAAAATGAAGCACAGTGGGCCAACACCCACAAATGACATGACTCCCCAAATCAACAAAGACTGTGGAAACTTCACACTGGACTTCAAGCATCTTGCAGTGTGTGCCTCTCCATTCTTCCTTCATACTCTGGGTCCTTGGTTTCCAAATGAGATGCAAAAGTTGCTCTCATCAGAAAAGAGGACTTTGGACCACTGAGCAACAGACTAGGTCTGTTTTTCTTTAGCCCACGTAAGACGTTTCTTACGTTTTGTTGTTCAGGAGCGGCTTGACAAGAGGAATACGACATTTGAAGCCCATGTCCAGGATCTGTCTGTGTGTGGTGGCTCTTGATGCACTAACTCCACTCCTTGTGAAAGTCTCCAACACTTTTGAATGGCCTTTTCCTGACAGTCCTCTTGTCAGGAATGGACTCGCCAATGGTGGTGGGACTCACCTGCCTTGTGGGCTGCAGTACCAGGGCTGGCCAGGGGTGCTCTCGGCAGCCAAAAGCTCACTCCTGCAATCAAGCCATCACCTGAGGCTGATTGCAGGAGGTGTATTTAAGGAATGGCCAGGCCTGCAGTCAGGGCCTTGGTGTATTGTTCCCATGAGCTCCTGTACCTGCATCCTGTCTGCTTCCTGCCTGATCCTGACTCTGCTTGAACTCTGCTTGCACCGACCTCGGCTAATCCTGACCAATCTTCTGCCTACTCCTTGTACCTTGTCTGCCCGTTTGCTACCGACCCAGCCCACCTGACTACGTTGTGCTCCATATTTATATATATATCAGTTAAGATTTGGGTTTGTTGCACCTTGTTGTATGTATTTGTGTTAGTTTTGGGTTTGGTTTGTTGCACTGCGTTTATGTCTGTGTTGCCTTAATAAATTATATTGTTTTGCACGCTATACCTGAAGTCTGTTTCCCTGTGTTGGGCCACACACCTCTGGTCATATCCGGAGCCCTGACATTACACCAAGGCCAGTCCTGACCAGAAGTGGCTGCACAGGGAAGTCATCTTGGCTTGTTGTTGGGAAGGATGCATCTTGAGGAGGTTGTGTATTTGTCTCTGCTAGTCTTAGATGACAGAAATTATGCCTATCAGACTCTGAAGGAGTATGCCAGGGATCAGCTGCTAGAATGCATACGGATTGCTCATTTCCTAGTAGATCAGGGCACGGAGTTCTCTGAGGTGCAACCATTGATTCAGGCTTGTGTGGAGTTGGCTTCATCTAGTACCCCTGAAAGCAGGGATGACTTTTTGCCACTGTTTAGTGCAGACCAAGTAGAGTCACTGGTATGGTTATTGGAGGATGATCCGGATTACTTCTTGGAGCATTATTCAGCATGTTCACAACAGGTGCTAGTGGATTGTATAAACGCAGTGCAGTCTTTGGTCAGACAGGCTTTGTGTAAGCTGAGCTTTGTTCAACCAGTACTACAGACATGGTCAGATTTGTTACACCCAGCCTCAGTCAGCTTGCAACAACCCCATCCTGCTTCTAATCACTCCTCTGCTCAAAGCTCTCTTCCTCCATTTCCCATAGCACCCCCAGTGACAGCCCAGTATACCCTGCTATCTACCACATGTCAGTCCCCTGTTCCCACTCGCTGCACCTATCCTGCCTTTAACCCTGTAAAGAAGTCATCTGTAGAAGCTGCTCCCTCCGTTTACAGGCCTGCGTTTACTTACAGTGCTCCAGTAACTAAAACCAAGAAGAAGCGAAAATTCTTTCCAACCAGTACCATCCTGCCAGTATCCAAACTGGTCAGCCTGCGGTCTGAGAACCCGACTTCCGTTGTCCATCCTGGTGCCCCGGTGCCCGCTGTTCAGCCTGATGCCCGGATGCCTGATGACCCAGTGTACGCTACCCAGACTGATGATCCTACCCGTCCTGATGACCTGATCCAGCCTGATGACCCGATCCAGCCTGATGACCCGGTGCCCGCGGTCCAGCCTGATGCCCTGGTGCCCACGGTCCAGCCTGACGCCCCAGTGCCCGCTGTCTTGTCTGTCCTGTCTGATGACCCGGTGCCCTCTGTCCTATCTGATGACTCGGTGCCCGCTGTCGTGCCAGATGACTCGGTGCCCGCTGTCATGCCAGATGACTCAGTGTCCGCTGTTGAGCTTGGTGACTCGGTGCCCGCTGTCGAGCTTGGTGACTCGATGCCCGCTGTCGAGCTTGGTGACCCGGTGCCCGCTGTCGTGCCAGATGACCCGGTGCCCACTGTCATGCCAGATGACTCGGTGCCCGCTGTCGAGCTTGATGCCTCAGTGCCCGCTGCCTCGCCTGATGCCTCGGTGCCCACTGCCTTGCCTGATGGCTCGTGCCTGCTGCTCCACCTGATGGCCCAGTGCCCGCTGCTCCGCCTGATGGTCCAGTGCCCGGTGCTCCTCCTGATGGCCTGGTGCCCGCTGCCTCACCCTGATATGCCTCTGCCTGCTGCCCAGTCCGATGTGCCACTGCCCAGCTTGATGTGCTTCTGCCCGCTGCCCAGCCTGATGTACCTCTGCCCGCTGCCCAGCCCGATGTGCCTCTGCCCGCTGCCCATCCCGATGTGCCATTACGAACTGTTTGGAGCGTCCTGAGGCCGCTCCTTGGGGGGGGGGGTACTGTCAGGAATGGACTCGCCAATGGTGGTGGGACTCACCTGCCTTGTAGGCTGCAGTACCAGGGCTGGCCAGCGGGTGCTCGCGGCAGCCAAAAGCTCACTCCTGCAATCAAGCCATCACCTGAGGCTGATTGCAGGAGGTGTATTTAAGGAATGGCCAGGCCTGCAGTCAGGGCCTTGGTGTATTGTTCCCATGAGCCCCTGTACCTGCATCCTGTCTGCTTCCTGCTTGATCCTGACTCTGCTTGAACTCTGCCTGCACCGACCTCGGCTACTCCTGACCAATCTTCTGCCTACTCCTTGTACCTTGTCTGCCCGTTTGCTACTGACCCGGCCCACGTGACTACGTTGTGCTCCATATTTATTATATATATATATATATATATATATAATCAGTTTAAGGTTTGGGTTTGTTGCACCTTGTTGTACGTATTTGTGTGAGTTTTGGGCTTGGTTTGTTGCACTGCGTTTATGTCTGTGTTGCCGTAATAAATTATATTGTTTTACATGCTATACCTGAAGTCTGTGTTTCCCTGTGTCGGGCCACACATGAATACGATCTTTTAGCCAGTTTTCTATCCATTTATTTTCCACAGTTGACACAGTTCCCCATACACGGCTTATGTGTAAGGTAAAGTCTACAGGCTTGGAAAAATCTGTATATAAATGGATAGAAAACTGGCTAAAAGATCGTAATCAGAAAGTAGTGGTTAATTATTCTTACTCAGAATGGTCTAGGGCAGGGGTAGGCAGCTGTGGCCCTCCAGCTGTTGGTGAACTACACGTCCCATCATGCCTCTGCCTTTGGGAGTCATGCTTGTAACTGTCAGTTTTGCAATGCTTCATGGATCTTGTAGTTCTACAACAGCTGTAGGGCCACAGTTGCTCACCCCTGGTCTAGGGTTGTCAGTGGTGTACCCCAAGTTTCAGTGTTGGGACCCTTACTTTTTAATATACAGTGAGGAACAGAAGTATTTGAACACCCTGTGATTTTGCAAGTTCTCCCACTTAGAAATCATGGAGGGTCTGAAATTCACATCGTAGGTGCATTCCCACTCCTAGAGACAGAATTTCAGAAATCACATTGTATGATTTTTAAAGAATTTATTTGTCTTGCACTGCTGAACATAAGTATTTGAACACCTAAGAAACAGCAAGAATTCTGGCTCTCAAAGACCTGTTACTGTGCCTTTAAAAAGTCCACCTCAACTCCACTCATTAATCTATCTTAGTAGCACCTGTCTGAGCTCTTTAAAGACACCTGTCCACTCCACAGTCAGTCAGACGCCAACTACTACCATGGGCAAGACCAAAGAGCTGTCAAAAGACACCAGAGACAAAATTGTGGACCTCCACAAAGCTGGAAAGGGCTACGGAGCAATTGCCAAGCAGCTTGGTGAAAATAGATCAACTGTTGGAGCAATTGTTAGAAAATGGAAGAGGCTAAAGACGACTGTCAGTCTCCCTCGGACTGGGGCTCCATGCAAGATCTCACCTCATGGGGTATCACTGATGATAAGAAAGGTGAGGAATCAGCCCAGAACTACAAGGGAAGAGCTGGTCAATGACATGAAGAAAGCTGGGACCACAGTTTCAAAGGTCACTGTCGGTAGAACACTACGCCGTCATGGTTTCAAATCATGCATTGCACGGAAGGTTCCCCTGCTCAAGTCATCACATGTCCAGGCCCGTCTGAAGTTTGCCAATGACCATCTGGATGATCCAGAGGAGGCATGGGAGAAAGTCATGTGGTCAGATGAGACCAAAGTAGATTTTTTTTTGTCTAAACTTCACTCGTCGTGTTTGGAGGAAAAAGAAGGATGAGTTGCATCCCAAGAACACCATCCCTACTGTGAAGCATGGAAGTGGTAACATCATGCTTTTGGGGTGCTTTTCTGCGAAGGGGACAGGACGACTGCACTGTATTAAGGAGAGGTTAAATGGGGCCATTTATTGTGAGATTTTGAGCAGCAACCTCCTTCCCTCAGTCAGAGCATTGAAGATGGGTCGTGGCTGGGTCTTCCAACATGACAACGACCCGAAGCACACAGCCAGGATAACCAAGGAGTGGCTCCGTAAGAAGCATATCAAGGTTCTGGAGAGACCTAGCCAGTCTCCAGACCTAAATCCAATAGAACATCTTTTGAGGGAGCTGAAACTCCGTGTTGCTCACCGACAGCCCCAAAACCTGACAGATCTAGAGGAAATCTGTTTGGAGGAGTGGGCCAAAATTCCTGTTGCAGTGTGTGCAAACCTGGTCAAGAACTACAGGAAACGTTTGACCTCTGTAATTGCAAACAAAGACTTCTATACCAAATATTAACACTGATTTTCTCAGGTGTTCAAATACTTATGTTCAGCAGTGCAAGACAAATAAATCCTTTAAAAATCATACAATGTGATTTCGTGAATTGTTTTTTTTTTTTAATTCTGTCTCTCAGAATGGGAATGCACCTACAATGTGAATTTCAGACCCCTCCATGATTTCTAAGTGGGAGAACTTGCAAAATCGCAGGGTGTTCAAATACTTTTGTCAAATACTTCTGTTCCTCACTGTATTTATAAACTATATAGGGTCTGGGATTATAAATACCATTTCAGTCTTTGCAGATGACACCAAGCTGTACAGTGGAATAACGTCCTTACAGGAAGTCTCCAACTTACAAGCCGACATCAATGCACTGTTTAAATGGGCAACTATGTAGCAAATGAGGTTTAATGTTGATAAATGTAAGGTTATGCACTTGGGGGAAGCTAAGAATATGCATGCATCATACATAGTGGGGTTGGGAGTACAACTTGGGGAATCAATGGTAGAGAAGGATCTGGGGGTTCTTAATATTGGCATGCAATGCCAAGCTGCAGTTTCTAAAGTGAGCAACCTCCTCTCTTGTATTAAAAGAGGTATAGACTCCAGAGAGAGAGATACCATTTTACCCCTGTATAAATCATTAGTAAAACCTCATCTGGAATATGCAGTTCAATTTTGGGCACCAATTTGCAAAAAGAACATTGGGGAACTGGAGAAAGCACAGAGAAGGGCAACCAAACTGCTAAGAGGCATGGAGGAGCTCAGCTATGAGGAAAGATTAGAGGAAATGAATTTATTCTCTCTTGAGAAGAGGAGATTAAGGGGGGATATGATCAACATAAATAGAGCAGACAGGTGGCGCAAACACCTAGTGCATTATCCAAGATTTATTCAAAGGTGTAAAAGACAAAAAACATACTCACAGACATAGCATGTATAAAAAGCTTTTGCATAATGGAGATAGCCACAACAACGGGAAAGGTGTTCCAACTGTCAATGTAATCAGGAGGCTGACACGGTTCGGGGACAAGTCCCTTTCCTCAGCGCTATATAGTGAACTCAGTGTAGAGTTATTCACCCTGAGGTCATCACAGAGGACAAGGGGGCACTCTATGTCTGGAGGAAAAAAAAATGTAATCTCCAAACACAGAAAGGTTTCTTCACAGTAAGAGCCGTGAAAATGTGGAATAGACTCCCTCAAAAGTTGGTTCTGGCCAGCTCAGTGGATTGCTTTAAAAAAAAGGCCTGGATATAACTGGATACTAACTGGGGATGTAGGAGCAAATTGGATCATGCTTTGCTGGGGGGGATTTTTGCCTTCCTCTTGGTCAACTGTTGGTAAAGGATTATAACTTTTTTTTTTTGTTTAATGGTTGAACTGGATGGACTTTTGTCTTTTTTCAGCTAGACTAACTATGTAACTGTGTAACTATGTCATAGCGTGACCTGGACATTACAGCTGAAACGATGGGAATGTGGAACGGCTCAATTCAAATGGATGGGTGTAGCATGAATTGGGGTAGTCTGAGATGATTTTTGCTGGGTAAAAAGGTTAGTCTGGTTCACAATAAATTGAAGGAAATTATCAGGGAAAAATACATTTTAAAAATCAATTGATCAACAGACCCCCTCCAGCAACAATAGACCTCCATGATAATAGACCCCCGGGCAACAATAGATCCCCCAGCACTCAGTGTCAATAGACCCTCCAGTATTCAGCAACAATAAATCCTCTCAACAGTAGATCCCTCCCAGCAACAACTGACCCACCCCAGCAACAAAATATCCCCGCCAGTAACAATAGACCTCCCCTGCAACAATAGACCCCCCCCCAGCAGACCTACCAGCACCCCTTGCCTTTACATACATTCAATGGTAGGAGGTACCGGAACTGCGTTTTCCCATGTTCCACAATCCGCCCGAGTTCACACTGATGCAGTGCAGCATATCGCATATGATTCGTACAGGAACCGCACCATATTCTTGTGCAATTCACATGCGAATTGTGTGCAGTGCGATTGGAGCCATACATTTTGTATGACTCAAATGGCACCATATCCACACCAAAAAGGTGCAGGACCCTTTTATTGGTCACAAGAGTCACTTTACCTGGTTCACATTACTTACATATTGGAACTTTTTATATAATTTATATATTCATTATTTATTTATTTATTGGACCAGAGAAGGGATTTATATTAGTGTATAGTAACTAATTATTAAATAAATGCTCATTCTCTCTCTGGTCACGTACACATGAAATCAGCGTGGCGAGCAGCACAGACGCCACTCTGGTTCTCACATCTATGGGGCACACATTTATTTAATAATTAATTACTATACACTACCTTTTGTTCCTCATACAGTTGATTGTCACTTTTGGTATGTGCCCCATTGCACAAGTCATTGATACATGCATATCCTGGTACTATATGTGAGCATAGTTCACTCATTTATTGATGTGGTATTGCCAATTATTATTATTTATTATTGATTACCCATACATTATTTATATATAATTTAAATATATTTTTGCTGTGTCTTTTTTTTTTTTGCTGGAGGTGGATTTGAGTGGCTCTTTTTGATTGGGCCATCACGTGGCGTGGGGGGGATGTTTTCTGACCTCTTCAGCATTCTTTGGCATATATATGTTGGATCAGCAGGCTTACACTTCAGCTCTGAAGAAGGGAGTTCGTCAGCCTATCCCAATTTAGGGCACAGTATTTAATTGGACTGGTATCGCGGACCACCTGTTCTGTTTTTATTCTCTTTTGATTTGTGAGTATAATCTATATGTTTATTCAATAAATACGTGGTGTACCAAGGTAATACACGATGAGAGTGCGCCCTTGTTTGCTTTTGTTCACTATTAGCAAGGTTTCCTGTCCACAATAAGGTAGAGCCCATACTAGCCTTCTAGATGTACTTTGTATCCCACATGGCTGCCT